ATTAGCATTGGCTCATGTTATTTGTGCGATAGATTAGGTATTCTACTTGAGCAGAGATCACCAAATAAACACTTGGAAAAACACAAATCTAAATCATGTAAAATCAGAAGTTCAATGATATAGCCATAATTGAGGTATGCTGCACTAAACAAAGCTTATACCCGCACAGAAATAAACGATGCAAGAGAATATACCAAACAATGCAAAGTACTTACATGTATCAAAGGAGAGAAGAAAGCAAAATCTTAGAGACCCTCGTTCATAACTGACGATATGGTTTCCACTTCAACTTCTGTTGCTACGTTGACCAGTGAGTTGAAATTATCCTTCAAAGTAAAAATTTCAATTAGGCAATGACATAATATTACAACTAAAACGATATATGGTCATAGTATTAAAATATGTTTTTATATGAACCTTTTCTAACCAATTTCTTAAATTTATGAAGCACAAAGGCATTTCTTTTTCCAGGTGGCTGGACAGAAAAGCAAATCACAATCAGTTAAAGAACCCTAACATCATAGAATACTAATTTTGCTACCAATTTCTCTCCCAATTGTGAAAACCCTAATTTACGATGTACTAATGAAATCAGAGAGAAATTAGAGAGATTTGTACCCTTTCTCATGTAGATCATGATACCGACGGATCAAAAACGCAATCCCCACTCATTTCTCCTCTCAGTTCGACGGATGAAGACGAGTCGGCTCGATTTCTCCGGCGGAAGCTTCGAGAATTGCAGGGATAGAGAGATGCCACCGAAAAGCTCTGATTACGTGAGATGAAACACGCAATTCCATCTCATTTCTCCTCTCAATTCGTCAGATCAACAGCCTCATAGGATATCGCCGTTTTGGTTTCGAGGAAAAGAGAGAGAAGTCGAGAGAGAAATAAAAAAACGAAGAGTTTTTTTTTTTGGTTTTGTTCTTTCTTCAAACTAATCAGAGCAGGACACGTGCTCATATCTAAACTCATCAAAAACATCTTAAATAAGATATACATCTTAGCATTTGTTTGATCAATTCATTAAATTTAATAATTTTTTCCCCTAAGATATCTTTAAGATATCACCGATAAACCTGCTCTAAGCTAATTGGAAGTATTAGTGGAAAAGCTGTTCAACGGGAAGACATTACTCTTGTTTCTTTATGGCATGGGGTATTTTTCACTTGAACTTCACGCCACTGTCTAAACCATAGATATTCCCAATATCTATAGTTTTTTCTTAATATTTCACAATATTTATATGAAGAAATCATTAATATTTTTTAAAAATCATTAATTATTACTATTTAAAAATTAATAAATACATATGTATATGTGCATGCAGATAGTCTGGCGTCGACTACGTTTCTGTGACATTGTAATTAGGGAAGTAATAAATACAACAAAATTAAAGCTTGCTGTCAAGTTTTGAGGCATGTTTGTCTCTATACTCTTCAGCTAATGCTATCCAGCTCTCTCTCTCTCTCTCTCTCTTTTTTTTTTTCTAATAATACTTCTAATTTTTTTGTTTTTAATACACTTCTAATTTTGAATACCTTTTTCTGTTTTAGTATATGTATCGTCTATGTCATTAGTTTTGCAATTTTTCTATATAGCCTCTGTTATCTAGGATGAAAATTTTGAATGTTGTAGGTTTAGTTTTTGGTTGTCTTATGTCAATTTAAATGTGACTATGTTTATGTTTGACCCAAAAAAAAGTTACTACTACTATTTTCCGTTGTTAAAAGTGAACTATATGTTATTGCACATCATGGGAATTTGTATTCTGATATGACTTTTCGTTTAATATAGTTACTGTATCAGTTTGACCAACAGCTGTATATATACACAAATAACAAAATACATATACCAGTGCATTAACGGAAGAATAATTTTTGTTTGTTTATAATTAGTATAGTTTGGTTTCTGCCAAAAGTATCTATAGGCTGATAATGCAAATAAAATTCATACTGTATAATAATTTTGAGCATGATATGTTGAGCTGGCCCAATATGAGTTATAAACGCGCTCTTTATATCTTATGGGTGTCAATAAGGACAAGGCAATTAGCCAGCCAATTAGGTCCTTTTCTAATCTACACAGCTGATTACATTTACACGATTACACGAATGGGCCCGTTTCTACCCTTAGGCAAAGTAGGCAAATGCCAAGTGTCCAATATTAATTTCAAAAAAAAAAAAATTTAAAAAATGCCCAAAATATTTTTTTTAAAAAATTACTTAGAGGTTTTAAATTTTTTTTGGTTTTGTCATAGCCCATAAGTCTCATTATATATTGAGACCCGTAACAAAAAATAACATTACATTATAACATAAAGTAAACTCAAAATACATTAACGTAATTAAGTTTAGACATGGATAATTAATATCATTGAACTGAAATTTTCGTAAATAGATTATAATGACATTAAAAATTGTAAATAATACTTCCTTCGTTCTTTTATAGATGATGTTTTAGGAAATGCACACATATTAAGAAATCATTTAATTTTTGTTTATTTCTAAACAAAAACATCATTTATTATCTAATCAACCAATAGAAAAATAATCTACATAATATAAATCATCAAACCAATAAAAAACTAATTAATATTGCATTGAAAACTGAAAACATCATCTATTTAAGAACAAAAACAAAAGCTTAAAACATCATTTATATAAGAACAGAGGGAGTATTACAGTTTAAATGTTTTAATGTGATTTACGACATATGACATTCACCAACTGAAGTATAAAGATTCATATCTCTTATAACTCTGCTTAGAATTCTGTAGACATTCATACGAATGAAATTAATCTAACGTTTTTAAACGAAAGGTTAACATGAAGTAAAGAAAAACAAAAAAACTAATCTCTTATTACCATGAAAATAAAGCATAAAACCAAGATCCAATGGGCCGGCTCAAATCTTATCTTCTTAATTACGTAAATCAATCCAGTGTAAATTTAAATTTTAAGGCCCATTTTGTTCTTTATTTTTTCAGCGCCAATTTTTGAACTTAATAGAAAAAAAAGATGTATACATCATTTTTCGATTTTCTTTGTTGGTAATTCGATACATAGTTCTTGATGATATCGTGAAGTAATTTTTATCCGGGAACAGTATAAATTAATTATATGAAGAGACGATTGTATTACAATTATTTAAAATAGCGTTGAAGAAAAATCACAACTTTGATCATAATCTATATTATTAATTGGGAAGCATTGGATAATAAATAACCTTATAAAGGGTAAAGAATTACAAAAAATGCCATTGATTTTAAATGTTTTTAAATAACTTCATTAAGGGTACAATAGTAATCACAAAATTAATATATTTAAATAAAAAATAGTTTAATTCTTTTAAATACTTATTAATTTCCAAAAAAATAAACTAATTTTCTCTCTCTTATTAATTATAAACGAAAATTTGAAATTAATTTTTTAAAAATTGTTAACCAATAGGAATTGAAAAACTAAGATTTGATATCCAACTAAGATTTTTTCTAAACCAATCCTAATAGACTATTCTATATCAAAAATACAAATAAAAATAATATCATTTTAATTCAAAATTAAAAAAAACTATCATTTAAAAAGATTTATCAATGGAGGATTTTAAGATTGAATTTAAAATTTGGTAAAAAAATTAAATGCAAATATTTTAATATTCAGTTTTGTTATAATATTTTTATTACAAATTTTGAAATATAAAACAAAATTTTATTTCATAATTTCTAAAAAACCATATTAAATATTAACAAATATTTATTTTTACTATGAAATAAACTCAAATAACAATAAATTTTAAGTAATTATCATAATGGTTTTCGTTTAGAGCAATTTTCGAAAAAATCTAAACAATAGAATGTACATATTAATTTTGAAATATTTTGTGTTTTATTTTTTTCTTTTCAACTCAGATCTTCCTTAAATAATAACTAGATGCAAATATTATTTAAGGAAGATTTTAAGATTGAATTTAAAATTTGGTAAAAAAATTAAATGCAAATATTTTAATATTCAGTTTTGTTATAATATTTTTATTACAAATTTTGAAATATAAAACGAAATTTTATTTCATAATTTCTAAAAAACCATATTAAATATTAACAAATATTTATTTTTACTATGAAATAAACTCAAATAATAATAAATTTTAAGTAATTATCATAATGGTTTTCGTTTAGAGCAATTTTTGAAAAAATCTAAACAATAGAATGTACATATTAATTTTGAAATATTTTGTGTTTTATTTTTTTCTTTTCAACTCAGATCTTCCTTAAATAAATCCATAATATATTGCACACAGTTTTTGAAATTATGTAAACTAATTATATATTTTGCATTCAACACAAATTATGCAGCAATAGCATATCCCTTTTGTAGATGTATCTAAAACTTTTATTTTTAGTCCAAATATTGAACTAATTATGATTAAACAATGAAAAGAAGAATATGCAAAATTTAGCTAAGAAAAGAAACATTAATAAATTTGTTAAAATATTTGTAACTTTAACATCATACATATTAATCCGCAAAACTCACAGTGTGTATTTTATGGTATTAGTAAGCAAACAAGAATTTGGAACATGGTTTTAATGGAATGAAATGAGAATAAGAATTACGAGACGGGATGGCAGGGGAACATAAATTAAAAATCAAACTTAATACTCAACTGGTATGAGTTTGTGTTATGAGCACTATATAAAATAAATTTGTTTACACACATAACCTTATACGTACGTTTTTAGTTACAATTTATGACAGATACGGGACCATAATATTTTTATTTCACGTATACGAGACGGGTTATGGGACGAAAAATTTATGACATATACAATACGGGATAGGTTTCCTGTTCCAAAATAGTTACGCCTAGCTAATATACATGAAATAATCCAAACTAAACCGAATATGTATCATATTTAACACATGTAATCAAACTGTTAGAAATGTTTTGAATAGTTTAGAAAATAAAAACGTAACATCACTTAACTTTTGCAACTAAATAATATCTTAATTTTATATTAAATACAATTTCACACGTACGTGTAGGTCCGAATCTTAAAATATAACTATGCACTAACGCAACTAAATTTCGTTCATTACTCTAACTTTATAATATCTATATTATTACAAAGTTCACTAACACAACAAAATATTTTATATTTTTAAAATCTATATAACAATTTCTAAAAAAAATATATCTGCACGTACATGTGGATCTAGATCTAATACACTAAAATATACATCATAAAAACAATAAAATAATCTATATTATATGAAAATTTGTAAGAAATGTTTTTGAAATATGAAACCCCGCACGTACGTGCGGGTCAGGATCTAGTCTATCGTTAAGTGGACACCTGGTTCATGATCGATGGAAGATGAATCGAGCGAAAGAGAAGTGTTGAATCCTTGGACGTTACTGTTAATGAACATTATAACCATTGGCTCTGTTTTTTTCTCTGACCAAATTGCCCTTCCCCTGTTTTTAATGTTAACTTTTCCGGTGATCTCTGTTTTCTGAACTTCATTTTTAGGCGGATTCTTGTTCATGAGGTTGGCGTCAGGTTTCTCTGGATTGTGGTTTTGATCCTTTTTATGATCTGGTGAAGTGTGAGATTCGTTGTTTATAAGTTTTGGAGGAGGAGATTTGATTTTGTTAGGTTTAATTTGGGGTAACAATGGTTTAGGTGACGGTATGATTTGTGATTTGATTGGCGGCGGTGCGGGAATTGGTGATTTCATCGGCGATGGTGACCTCTGTTCCGTCAGAGATGGTGGTGGTATAGGTGATTGATATTGGTGGTTTTCACTAGCTTTCGGCGACAACAATGGCGATGCTGATGGTGATGAGTGTGTCTGAGATCTTGCTTGTTTTTCAGATTCAGGAGATGACGGTATTGTTTTAGGTTCTGGAGTAGATTTTGATGGTGGTGATGGCGAAATCGGAGGTGATTGGGACCGTGTTTCATCAATGGATTTAGACGGCAAAGGCGGTGGTGGCGGTTGGTGTTGCCATTCTTCAGTTGCTTGCAGCCTTGACGGCGGAGGCGGTGCAATTTTAGCTTCTGGCGATGGCAAAGGTTTTCCACCAGGTTCTGATAATGACGGAGACAGTGATCGGAATTGAGTTTCTTCAATAGATTTGGACGGCAGAGGCGGTGGAGACGTTTGGGGTTGGACTTCTTTAATAGCTTTTAGCATTGACGACGGTGGCGATGCTTGCGACTGAAGCGGTGATCGGAGCCGAGTTTCGTCTATGGATTTAGATGGCAAAAGCGGTGGTGGCAGTTGGGGCTGGGATTTTTCTGTAGCGTTTTGCGTCGACGGCGGAGGCGATGGAACTTTAGCTTCTAGTGGCGGTAAAGGCGGATGAAATTCACCAGAATCTGGTAATGACGATGCTTGCGACAGAGACGGTGATCGGAGCTGAGTTTCATTAATGGATTTAGACGGTAGAAGCGGTGGAGGTGGTTGGGACTGGGATTCTTCAGTAGGGGTTAGCGTTGAAGGCGGAGACGGTAGAATTTTGGCTTCTGGTGGTGGTTGAGTTTCACCTGTTTCTGACAATGACGGTGGCGATGATCGGGACTGAGTCTGATTAAAGAATTTTGACGGCAGAAGCGGTGAAAACGGTCGTGATTGGGAATTTTCATTAGTGTTTATCGTTGACAGTGAAGACGGTGGAGTTTTGGCTTCTGGTGGTGGTGGTGGCGAAACTGGCTGTGATTGAGAAATAGTTTCATCAATGGATTTAGACGGCAAAAGCGGAGGAGAAGTTTGGGATTGGAATTCTTCATTAGCGTTTAATGTTGACGGTGAAGACGGTGGAGTTTTGGCACCAGATTTTGATGATGTTGGAGGCGATGGATGGAACCGAGTTTCATCAATAGATTTAAGCGGTGGAGACGGTTGGGACTGAGATTCTTCGGTAGACTTTAGCGTTGACGAGGGGGACAATGGTGTTTTTGCTTCTGGTGTTAGCGGTGGAGGAGGCACCGATGCTAGTAATTGCTGCTGAGATTCAGTGGATTCTGGCGGCGACTTAGGAGGTGATTGGATAAGTAGATTCCGGTGTGTTTTGACATGTTTTGACGTCAGTGGTGGCATTGGCTGCGATTGAGGCTCTTCCTTTGATTTTGGTGATAACGGCGACAGTGGTGGTTCCGGTAGTACATGTGGTGGAGAGCCGTGATTTTCCCTAGATTCCGAAAAAGAGGGTGAAAGTGTTGATGGAGAAGGTATCGGAGATGGAAATGGTGGCTGAAATGGCGGTGACTGTGGTGGCGATTGAGACAAAGTTTCTTGAAGAGTCCTTCGTGGCGGCCTCTGTTGTGGCGGTTGGTGGCTAACGCTTTGCCGTAGTTGGACAAGTCTAGCTAAGTTTCCGAGCCGGAATCTCCGGCGAGATTGCCGATTATTAAACATTATTCGTAACTCTCATTAATTATTTGGTCGTTGAATATGTAGAATTGTATGCATATGTTTGGTTAAAATAGATATTGATAAGCTTAAGCTCTATAAACGAGAGGAGACAACTTTAGCATACACGAAACATATCTTCTTGAGACTAAGTATATTAGTAGTAGAAAGAAAAGTATTGGATTCACCTTTTATGTCCTTTCACAAATCACGTGTTCATGTACCTTCACTTTCTGAAATATACAAAATTAGCCCATTTCATGTACCTTCACGTGTTCATGTACCTTCAGAAATGGTACAAAAATAGTAATGGTGTTTAACTACATTACTATTTTTTTTTTTAACTAGAAAGTTGATAAAGAAACGAATGACTACATTACTATTACATGGCGAAGAGTTAATTAAATTTCCATATATGTCTAATTACATTATTGTAATCTTCAAATCTTCTTTTTCAATTCCCTAAAGTCATCCCCGTCAGTCACTGGCCAAAAGTGAATCTATCTATTACTAATAAAAGATGCTAATTGAGGCCTCTCAAGCCATTCCACATCAGCAAAAACAAAAACACCTAAGAGGATGCCACATCAACGCATCAATTTTATTTAACTTCTCTCATGATACCACGTCACCCAATTAGGGTAATTAAGAAACTAATCTACGAACTCATTACACGCGTCTTCCCTCATACGAACATACAAATATTAGGGAACCCATCGTCTCCCGAAAAGCCATAAACTCTTCGGTTCAATCTTCTCTCATCTTCTATGGCTTTCCAGTTTCTCATGTTCAACCTCCATCAAGTAACTTATGGATTCGGTTTCATGTCATATGGTTCAAGCTTCTCCCATCTCATTTTAACCCAAAAAACCACTACCACTTCACCTCTAAATATAGTTTTCACGACTGTATATAAGATATCATATCAGCCTTCTTCTTCGCTCTCTATTCATTATATGGGTTTTTCAAAATTGGCGTCTGATCCATATATTGAAAAAGTGAACGTCGGAGACCATCCGGTGAGTGCATCTCAAGCTAAGCGAAAAACATAACGAGCGGGCCCTTATGTTTTGAAGCGAGTGTTTATTTAACGTATCTTCATCTCTGATTTGTTCCTTGACCAGATTAGAACAACTCCCCACAAAAAGCCCCAACAGCATTGGGAACAATGGCCTTGAAGATGACGAAGGTTCCGTAGCCTAATCTAGAATGAAGTAAGCAGCAAACCATTTTTAAAATTTTAACATTAGATTGTCTTCTCTTTCACTAAAATCTGAGACCTGCTTCTCTTTGATATATCTTATCCCCCAATCTGTATTATTTCAATGATGGTTCGTTTTATTTTTTGATTTTGCCACCTTTGTTATTTTTGTTTAGTAGAAATTAGGAACACGCTCTACTGTGTACAAATTATTTCTATAGTTCTACGCTACATCAGATTATTTTTTATTTGTGATTGGATTGAGTATCTTTAATGTTTTAGTTTTAATAAAGTATGGTAGTGTGGCTGGTGATCATTATCGAGAATCACCATCATTTGATTCCAAAACATTTCCAAGCTAAGAACACATATATCTTTTATTTTCGTTAAGGCCGACAAATACTAGAAGAGATCGATCATCAACTTAAACATTGTTGATGATGCTTAGTCAATATATTTTTACAGCTCACTATTTTGATCTTAGTTAATACCAATTAAAAATAACTACGTTCCTCTATTGTATAGTATATATATAACGAAGTTTAACATGAATTCTGGTTCCTTTTCTTCAGTTCTATACCTTTTTTTATTTGTTTGTGGGTAAAATATTACAATGTCTACTATAGGTTTTGTAAGCATCATTGCCCTCACTTAACACCGATATTTTCAGCCTGTATCACTTTTGATCTCGACATTATTTGCTCCTCAGTTTGAAGGTTCACTTGGAGTGTAGAAAGCATGTCCAGATCGGGTTGGTGTTTTCATCTACATTTTGAATTTCTAATCTAGAAATCTCAAATTTTCTAGCTATGTATAGGTGTGAAGCATCTAACTGATTATGCTGTTTAATTTGCATTTAAATCGTTGACGTTTCATTTCTCTCATTGGTATTACCTTTGCAGTTCAGTTAAAAACTTATTTTAGTTACCACTATTTCATAGATATATTATTAGCTATTTAGCTTCTATACGAATGCCACTAGCCTACTACCAATGAAACTAAAACAATAGAGGTAGTTATGTATCATTAACACAAATTTAAACTTTTTTCTTAAAATATGAGTTACACGTCTCACTTCAATTTCAAAAACTTCATATTTAAGGGATATACAAAACAAGCTAGCTGCAAAAAATTGAAATGAATATTTAATTTTAAAATGAAGAAAACAAATAAATATGATTTGAAAATAAAGTATGAGATGTATATATAGATGAATATATCCAAATAATAATTAAAAAATTAGAAAAAAATATAAATCACAAAGAAAATTTTTAAAGATGGATAAAACTGAACAATTATTTGTGCCATACATGTTTTTCTATTAAAATATTAAATATTACATCAAATGTATTCTAAACAAACTAAAAAATAATTTCAATCTAAATTAGTGTAATGGTTAAATGTATACCGAACATAGCCCGGATTACCCCTAGTAATAGTAATATATTTTTAAAAAAACTTGCAATTTCTCTAGGTTGATCAATATGTTTTTGGTGTGAGCGCAACTCTAGACGACACGGTGAGATCCGAAACCTCCTGAATATCTTGCTAAGCTCGTCGATTGTGCTCCATCAAGGACACGACAATAGGATGCTAGATGTATTGTCGTCTCATTCTATGAGAGGGCCCTTGGTAAAACTAAAAAAAAATTAAATTCTCCTACTAAAATTTGTTTAAAAAAAATTAGACCATTTTTCTGCACTAAATTTTTTGAAAATGGCTTTGAACCCATGGCAAATGCCTATGTTGTCATGAGAGAGACAGCCCTGCCTAGATGACGGGTTGCAAATTTGGTTAAGCACAAGAACATAGCGTCTTGTTTTCACTTTTAAACGCTTTCTATTCTCTTTTCAGATTTAAATTATATCCAGGTTGCATATGATGTAAACATGGTTTTTTGAATTATATAAAATTTAACATTCATTAAAAATATATAGATTGGTCATTGTTGCTGATCTAACAAATCCATAATTATCCTACCCAAAAATATTCACAGCCTCATTTTGTTTTTAATTACTCTATATTCATTGCTAAACATTCTTATTTTCTAATTAATATATCTCAATTAGTCTAAATTCAATTGCCAACCATTTTTACTACTCCCTCTGTTTCAAAATATATGATGCTTTGGTTAAAAGCACAAATTTTAAGAAACTATTTTTTTTTCTATTATTTTTACAATGAAATCATAATTTAATATTTACTTAAAGAAAGCTTGGCCAATGAAAACGTTTACTGCATAATATAAATAGTCATAAAATTGTATGAATTTAATTTTTACGTGGAAACTTGAATTTTTTGTCCAAAACATCGTATATTGTCAAACAAGATAAAATGGCTAAAACATTATATAATATGAAACAGAGGGAATATTCAATATAAAGATTTTTAATATATCTAATGCATTGAATTAGTAGTGTTTATTTTAGTTAATTTTCTCAATTTCAAAAGCAATAAATTATATTCGAAGCTATTAAACTTTAAATTGAAACCGGAAGTTTTTTTTATCTTTTTAATGAAAATGGCGATTGTCTAGTCGAAACGATCTCTCTTTTTTGTCTCTTTCTCGTTGTTTATAGAGAATTTATAGTAACTATCCATGAGCTACAGTGATTTGTCAGAAGGATAGATGAAATTACCCAAAAACCTTTGTTTTTCTCATTTTTTTTTCTTTTTGATTTCTCTCTCCTTCTCTACCTCCATTGTTGCATCCACAACCTTCCTCCGACACCATTCTTTCTGTCTTTCGATAAATCTAGGCTACCAAACGCTTTCCATATTGATGAGTTATCTCTTCCTCAATTTCTCTTTACTTCGTCAAATTTCAATCTTTCTGGGAATCTCCGTCGTCATGTTTTTGTTTTAAATTGTCTGTCATTCTCTTTTGTAACATGCTACTTTCTCGAATTACACGTGATAGCATAAAATCTCTCTCTTCAACATGCTATTTTTTTTTTTCGTATTACACGTTATTTATTATGATCACATATGATTTCTTTCAAAAGCATGATTTTAATGTTAAAAACACATTGTTTTTCTAAACGAAACATATTTTTTTTTCAGTATAACATGCTATTTACTTTAATATAACACGTTATTTTTATATGTTAACTCCTATTCATTTCATTTGTTTCAAAAACATGCCTTTTTAAAAAACCACATTATGTTTTTGTAAATAACAGGTTATTCGGTTTAATATATCATGTTAAATTTAAATGTTACATGCTATTTTCTAAAATTTCACGAAAATTATATTTCTTTCTGTCTTCGGCACCGAATCTTTCTCTCCTTCTATTCAATTCCAAAACAAAAAGGTTAATTTTGTCAATTCACTCCCTCTAAAGTGTGGGACCATAATTACTTTCTAACAAAAAATAGATCCATGACTATTTTCTTAATAACTTTTTGGTCAAAGATTACTTTCTAATATTTCCTTGTTTTTATTGTTGATTGACAAACTAATAAGGAAGTGATGGATGGAAATTGTAGAAGATTTAACTCTTTTTTAGAAAAAAAAATGGTTTTAAAAATTTGATTTTTACCAGTCACACTTTAATTACTTAACAACCTTAGAAATCTCTTAAATGTTCTCACAACACATTTTGTATTATTTGTTCTTGTTAGTTGTTACATTCACATTAAGATAATTTAGTTTTGCCCAAAAAAAAAAAATATAATAGTCCCTAAAATTCTTGTTCTACTTATTTCTTTCTAAAGTTTATAAATCCAAACCAATCACCCCCTTATAATCATCAATGCTCTTTAGTGACGTTGAATGAATTTAATGCGTAGGGAGACATTAATAGGCCTTGGGCCATTACTTTAAAGCCCAAGTTAAAAAGTCAACTTATCACAAAAGACAGGAAGGTGAAGAATAATGGTCGGAAGAAATCGGAGTTAGGAGTTACCTAACCTAACTCAGATTCGATCCTAAGATGATGTCCGATCTTCAAAGGGACAGATTTGGTCGGAAGATGATGTCTGATCTTCCAAGGGATATGACGGAGGAGGTGCTCTCTAGGCTTCCGGTGACATCTCTGAGAGAAGTGCGATCGACCTGCAAAAAATGGAATACTTTAAACCAAAAGTCGAAGCTTTTTAAAGAAGCACATTGCAAATAAGAAGAAGCAGATTGAGGTGGTCATGATGATAGAATCTAGAGTCTTTTTGATGAGCGTCAATCTCCTCTATCCATGTGTAGAGCGTATAGGTAATCTCGATGCAGATCAAATCGACATATTTCTTTCACTGCGAGGGTTTATTCTTAAAGAAATTTTGACGTTTAGTGTGATATTGACTTTCTCTCTCACGGTTTGGCAAAGTCAAAAAAACTTTCCATAGAATAGCTAGAGAACCAGAAATTAAGAGAAAATAAACGAAATAACTAGAGAACAAAGAATGGTTGTTCTTTATTTAAAATAGAAGGAAAATTTGTAATGAATCTGAAATTTCATGGTGAAATAATTGATTTTGTTTCATTATCAAGTAGAGAGATTAGAGTTAAATGGATTAAGAAATTTCCAGCAAGTTGGAAGAAATGACAGAAATTAGTGAGAAAGCAAATGTTCTTCCTACGTAATCGACTTAACCACCAAATAACTAAACAATACTTAAATTCTTTAGCTTTTCGAACTTAAACTACTATCGATTTATAATATTTCTATGTAAAAAACATTCAAAATGTAAAGAAAACAAGATTATGAGATAACTACTAATGACGACTGCAAATTTTAGGGTTGCAGAAGAGGATAACTCAGGTTGAAGACGACTGTAAAATTACAATTATACCCTTCATCAAATTTCTGCTGTGTACGTATATATAATTTACGGTGTAATAATGTACATACATCTTTGTTGGTGACTTAATTTTGATGGGATATATTTGTTGATATAATAAACCACTATTGGCGAGGGATCTATTCTACGATGTTCCTACTAGAGATGAAACCACTGTTATTTAATTTTTTTATGTTTCTAAATACACTCCGAACAAACAATATATGTCTTGTCGTACTAATTTATACTTTTGTCTCATCAACTCGGCATTTACTAAATCATCGAAGACTAGAGAAAATCCACTCAATTACCATTCACTTTACATCTACCATGTCAATTTGCATTTGTGTACTTTAAATATTCACTGTCATATACTTCCTCGTGTACATAATTAGTAATGTACGTACATTCTTCTAAAAATAATGTCTTAGCTCGTTATGACTCCACATCTAACATGCACATCTGTTTTCGTATACGTCAAACATTCACCTTTACATACTTCATGGGTACATAGTTAGTAGTGTACGTACATTCTTCCAAAAATCATGGCTTACCTCCCTTACATTTTCAACTGCAACCTCTTTACCTCTCCAAGCTGTAGAATATGAAATCCGAACATTGAGATCATTTAGAAGCAACTGTGGTAAATCGACAGCTCTCGGACCCCCTTGCGTAGAACTGTATCTGCTCTTCACTACCTCTCTGAGAAGCTTATAACTAGCATGTTTAGTATAATTCTTCCAAGTGTCAATGTCACACGTATGGGTGGTATCATACGATGTGATTTTGAAATATTTCGAATTCTTGACGACTTGAGCAGTCAATGCCATGGACAATTATCATCAACTCAAACCATCTCCAATCTTGTAGGACATGACCGAGGTTGCTTGTAGCAAAATCATTCTTTGATTGCAAGATAAGCCATTGTTTGTTGTATGACTTTCTTGTTCATAAAAACACTTCCCACATACAAAGTCTCACATGTCGTACTCAGTTCAACTTGTGTCTCATTGGCTTAATCATCGAATACCGGAGCAACATCATTATAGAGAATCTCCACCTCACCACCATATAATGAAGAAAAGCCACTATACACTTTGTAAGCCTCAGCTGCGGTAACTAGCCGATGATCATTCAGTGCCCCACTTGTTGATGCTCTAATACCACACTCGAGAACATCATCCCTAGTAACTTCGTCTATACCATTAATATTGGTATCCGTGTACGTAACAAAATCACCTTTGCAGCCTGTATCTTGTACACATTCGCTAGTGTACGTACATTGGTACAAACTATATCGAAACGTACGTGTTGGAGTCACGGTTGGTGTACGGTCACCCAAATGAGAAATGTTATCTCCGCCAGGTACATGCTGACTTGTGTACGTACACTCTGCCAATAGACGACTGAATTCCCCTGAATGTTCAACAGTCTGTTGAGTGAGAATGACGTCCTCCTCAACATTCCCAATTCCATATTCTTTTACAATTACTTCATTCCACTTGTTGTAATCGTAATTTTTGCCACTACCTTCACTACCATCTATAGTAGGATCGAGGGTACTTTCCCCTATTCATCGTCGCCTTGATGATCATCATACCCATCACCCTCTTTGTTGTCCTCCTCCTCTTCATCTCTATCTGTTTTATCGTCCTCAATGTCGTGTTGCTCATCTACGGCCTCAATATTTGCATCCACATTTAAAGGCGCTACAATGGTTTTTGGTGTCTTTGCACTCCCAGACACATGGTCACTTTCAGCATCATGGCCATCATTCCTAGAGACAGTATTTCTGTCTGCCTTGACGGTTGTAATAAAAGAGACAAAGAAGTTCACTAGTATCCCCACCACGAATCAAAAAGAATGTATCCAGGCTCATTTAATTGTCAATTTAGACAGGAGGACATTTACTTTCTATCATCATCGACATCTTTTCCGGCATCCAGTAACTAATTATAGGATTGCATTCAGTGGAGTTCAAACTGAAAATCTCACATAATGTACGTACACGTGTACGTCATGTTTTCCTTAACACGTACACACCGACCAAACCTGCTTTCCTCTGGTTCAAATTTTCATTCTTCTTCTTTGCATCACCATTCACCAACCATATTAAATACTAAAATATCCATTACCCACCTGCATCATAAATTCAGCAGAACCCCATTAAATGCAACTGAAAACATGATTAAATCTACAAAAACAAAAAGAATTTCCAACTACACACTTTATAAACATAACTAATAACTATATATCCTCATTAGCATTTGCAACAAAACAAAAATGGAAATAAAAATTTGTGGATTTTTATATCAAAACCAATGTTGATTTCGTACACAGTCACGATCAAGTGTGTTATAAGAAAAAACTTCTTAAACAACTTCATTACTTACACGATCAATGCTTCTCTTGTCTCCAAACTTTGTAAAACAACAAAATCAAAACTTCTCCAGCATCACATTTGTTCATAAAAAATTGTTTGTTTGTTTTTTCTTGTTTATCTCTTAAAATTATTCATAAGTATAAACAAATATTATAAGAGGTAATGATGAGTTTGTATTAATTAAAGTGGGTAACAGTCATGTCTAAACTTTTTTGGCATTTAATCCTAATGTCACATAGTATTTTAATGTTATTAAGCCCCCATTTTCACTGTACAACCGTAGAAAAGAATTAAAAACAAAAATATCTGAACCCAACTAGAAACACTGTACATAACTAAACCGCATAACTAAACCGTACATGGAATAGTACATCGTTACGCTGACAATGGTATTTTGGTCAGAATTTGGCTTAATTGCCAAAATGTGAGAGATGAAACTCACTTTGCCAAACCGTAAAAATAAAACATGTTCTTCTGCCCTGCCCTGCAATTAACCCTTATTCTTATGCATGACCAATTCTGGACTTGTTGTTTGGAACCCTTATTTGGGACAAACAAAGTGGATCCAACCCAGAAATTCTTACCACAAATGGGACAGGTACGCTCTCGGATACGAGACCAACAAGAATTACTCGAAAGTCTTGAGATTTTTTAATAATCACGACCCGAACGTGAATCACCGAATTTGTGAGTTTGAAATCTACTCTAATTCTTCATGGAAGGTTCTTGTTGATATCAATCTGGACTGGGCTATATCGTTTAATCACCGTGGCTTGTCTCTAAAGGGCAACACTTATTGGTATGCTCGACAGAAGATCGACTTAGATGGTCCTCCTCCAGTCATAAGAGATCTCCCTGGTTTCCTACTCTCTTTTGATTTTACGACCGAGAGTTTTGGACCGCTTCTGCCTCTGCCTTTCCTCGCTTTCTTTGGAGATACTGTCACTCTTTCTAGTGTTAGAGAAGAGCAGCTTGCCGTGCTCTTTCAGAAATCCGGTGTGCCTGGATACACCGTCAAGATATGGATTAGTACTAAGATTGAGCCCAATGCAGTGTCGTGGGGAAGCAGCTTGTTCTTAGCTGTTGATATGAAACCACTCACTGGTTTTCGCGCTAGCAGTTTCTTTGTTGATGAGGAGAAGAACGTCGCTGTGGTTCTTGATAAAGACAGAAGTAAATCTCGTAACATTGCTTACATCATTGGAAAGAATGGATACTTGAAACAAGTGGATCTTGGCGAATCTAGAAACCAATTCTGTTACCCACTTGTGTGCTCTTATGTTCCAAGCTCTCTGCAAATCCAGCAACCTGAATCACTAGGCAACACCCTAATCTATTAAGTTCGTATTATCATGGTTTGGTTTATCGTCTTCGAATATTTCTTTGAATTTGTATCTCGGCAAGTGTTGGTTTCTTATCATGGCTTCTGTTTTCTTCTTAATTAGCTGAAAAGAAGAAAAGTATCGCCCTTCTCTAAACTCTTCTCTAGCCTCTTATATAGATTCTACTGACCTAATCTGTCTTGTCTATATATATGTGTTTGGTGGCTGTGCCAAGAACTCTATTTTTGGCCAGACTTGATTAACTTGTTGGAGGACAAAGCTATAACGCTGCAACTATTCTAAGGATGTTTATCCATTCTTCATGAACTTTCTTGCTTCTCTATCTGTTTGGTTTTTATTTTGTTATTACCATTAGATAACCAGTGGTGGTTATTTCAATGAAACAGAGCACCATATAAAGATTCAATTTCGCTTCTTATGCCCCAACATCACTTGGTAATACACCACTACATGGGAGCCATAATGCAAGCAAGACGAAGAAGGCATTACAAATATTAGAAGAGATGACTCGTTTTTCTTCTAGATCATCTTTGCAAGAAATTCGGTTACTTTTGCCTCAAGAATCAAGATCCCGTTGACAAGGGAGCAAATGGAACGAACAATAGAATTGGCCCTTTGGGTCTAGCCCAGTGAGAAAGTATTATAACCCAGTCCTGGCAGAGTTATTTGGGTCTACCCCAGTGAAAAAGTTAAATGCAATAATGTAATGACCTAACTCAGATTGCACGTTCTGAGTTATTGTGTGTTTTACTTGCAGATCATCAGAGTGGAGCCAAGCTTAAAACTCAAGAAACAGAAGCTTCAGGAGAACGACTAACCAAACTTAGTTAGGTATCTTCACATCTTTGCTATTCCTAGCTTGTTTAGCTTGTATATCTAAGCTGAAATATTCTTAGCATTAGTTTAATTCCTTGCTTGCATCTCACTAGTAGCTATAGCATATTATCTTGAGATTAGTTGAGATGATTCTATGTTTCAATGATAATGTCGGACAAGGGGAAGCGTGACTTTGATGATCTGGATATTACAAGCACCAGTTCCATTGTTGCACGCAACATATTCCTCTTTATGATGGATGCCTCTGCAAATTCTCCTCGGGGAGCTTATTCTTTTGATAAAATCATCGAAAAGGAAGAATGGGAGGAGAAGCTCATTTTCAATGATTTTCTCTAAAAGACAAGCTCTCACATCTGAAGATTCCTGTTGGAGTAGGCTGCTACAGATTCCTGTTGGAATAGGCGGTAAATCCGTAAATGTTACCTTCAAGATATTTACCGCCAGGAATCTGTAGCAGCAACCAATGCTTACCCTGTATTTGTCCGCAATAGATTGCACAAGTTGTGAGATATCGAGGTAACATTTGATTCTTTTATACAACATACATTGGTGGACTTTAACATGCGATATATCTTGTTGGCTTACCCTGTTCGTCCAGTAATGTAATATTCTCAATACTCATTGTTGAGTGGAGTCGTAAAATAGGGCAAGCGAAAAGAAGTGGAAGAAGTTGTTAAGTGGAATCAGGTGGCTTACCCTGTTCATCCAGCTCTATACTACCATATTAAATAGAAGTGATGATATTATTTAGGACCCTTTTCAGTTTTTTTCTTGCCCCTCAGCCTATAAACTTTGAAATTTAGCACTGAGTTAGTTAGACCTATTACAGATTATAGCCAGTGGTCTGCTGGAACAAGCCAAGTTGAAGAGAGTTTCCCTTTTGCTTACCGTTCGTTCTCTCATTGACAAAGCTATACCAGAAAACTGGATCAGACCCCTCCTTCCGGGTTTACAAGTTAAGTTTTGTTTAGGATATGCATTTGTTAACTGACTTATGTGGCTGGGAGGGAGGTGGTAACGACAGCGGTACAACATCTATTAGAGCCATAATACATTGGCAGTATTAAAATTATGTTTCTACTAGTACTAAGTATAATCACAAAGGTGATTACATATTGAAATTTTTATTTTCACTGGCTAGATATATAACCCACGAACATAACCGTTATATCAGGATGTCTTCTCTTTGTGTGCCCAATGAAAAGATTTTGGATTATGATGATTGATGATCTGGAACATCCAGAGAGGCGTTGGGACGCTTTGCTATAATTGGACAAGTCTAGCTAAGTTTTTAAGCCGGAATCTCCGACGAGATTGTCGATTGTTAAACATTATTCTCCACTCTCGTTATGTATCTGGTCGTTGAACTTGAATATGTAGAATTGTAGATGTTAACCCGCGGGTCTATATTTTTATTAAATAAAAAAATTGAATATTTTTTTTAAGATGATTTATAAATATATGCTACTGTATAGTACACCTTGGGACAATATTTTATAACTAATAATTAGAAATTTTAAATTGTATTTATTTTATTAATATTGTTTGTCTTGTTTTGTTTAGTGTTTAAGATTGTATAATTGTATTTAGATTGTTAATTCTAGGATTTTACCCGTAGTATATCATCTCATATTAATATCGACCAAAACCCGTCTCACCATATAACTCTGTCCCGTGAAATTAAACGTCATTTTGTCATTTTATTATAAAGTTCAAATATTTATAATACTTGAAACTTCATAAAAGTTTAATATCAACCCAAACTTCATAATTATATTTTGATTGTTATATTTAGGATTTCACCCATAGTATACCGTCTCGTATTAATATTTTTTATAAATATTTATAATATTTAAACTTCTTATAAATTCGTATAAAGTTCAAATATTTATAATAGTTGAAACTTCATAGAAGTTTTAATATCGACCCAAACTTCATAATTGTATTTTGATTGTTATATTTAGGATTTCACCCGTAGTATACTGTCCTGTATTAATATCTTTTATAAATATTTATAATATTTAAACTTTTTATAAATTCTTCTAAAAATTCAAATATTTATAATATTTGAAACTTCATAAAAGTTTTAATATTATACATATTTAAAACGTTTAATAAAGTTAAACTTTTTCTAAGTAAATTCATAAAATTATTATATAAATGTGATCAAATTACATATATATTTTGTTTTTAAAACATTCCTATTGTTGATCCTTACTTAAGTAGTACACCACATTACTCTTTCTCCAATAATACTTTCACGCTTAAAAAATGAGATCAAATCAAAAGAGGATTGCTATAAACTTCTACTTTCCCGCAAGAAAAAATAAACAAATTAAATTAAGAATTATATGGGTGAAATTAAATAAACAAATCAAATTAAATATTGTTACGATCTATTTTAAGTAATCTATATTTATGTCAATGAATAAAAATTAATTATTTGCTAAACTGAGTAGAAATTGATTTTCAAATTATTATTCTTTCCAAAATCTTAACTAAAGATTTGAGCATTAAACGTTTTTAAAATGTATTTATAGTAAGTGATTAATTTTTCCTAAAATTTCTATAACAGTTGTATAAAATTCAGTTAGTTGTTTAGGCAAATAATTAATGGATTAAGATCAACGTGATTATTGCTAATTGATCTGTTAAAAAGAAATGTTAGTGTTTTATGTAAAGTTAATATGAAAAGATTTAAAATGATTTTTGTGATTTTGTTTTGTTTTTAGTTTGGATTTTAATCCAACCACTCTTTCTTTGAATTGTTTAAAAGATTGTATAGTAGAATTTAAAGGAACAATAGATGAGATAAGATATGTGATATTAATTAGTTTAGATTGTGAATATATTCGAAATCAATTAGAGAATAAAGTTATTAAGTTACGATTAATGTGGCAATTAGTTTAGGTAATAATAACAAACTGAATTCTGCGAATGGTAAATGCTAAGTATCCGGAGATGATTAATATGGAAATAGTATAAGAATATGTAAATGAATTACAGACAACATGACTTTATTTATCAGTTTGAAATTAAGACAACATCCCTAAAATTGTTTATCCAATATCCGAATAGACTAAAACCGGGTCAAACCCGGATCCAAAAGAATTAAAGCAAAAATGTACTATAAAAATGTATATGTAGATGTTTGGTTAAAATAGCTCTTAATAACGGAAGGTGACAACGTGTTCTGAATCAGATTCTTCTAATTTCTGAAATACAAAATTGGCCCATTTGTTACAAAGATTAGGCCCATTTAATATTTGCGCTATCTAATGTAGGAATAATGAATAAAACCTTTGAAGTAAATTAGTGCAAAATCAACATTAGATTTTATTTTTTTTTGGTAAAAGGTTAAATTAATCAACATTAGATTTAAAAATACAAAAAGAACCATGGCTATACAGAATCTACTTCAGATTTTTTTTGTAAACTATAGATTTAGTATTTTTTTTTTTGGTAATTTCAATTATGTACGTTACGAATTCTAGGATTTTTTTTTTGTCAACAATATTTGATTATTTTCTATAAAATATTAAGAAAAAAATGAAATGTTTATAATCATTTATTTCCGGGTGGATAATAGGTAAATATACCTGAAATTCTTTCTTTTTTTTTTATTCATTTTATCGGCTTCCATGGATACTCTCTCAGCATCCGTTTCATCATCCTTGAACCTCCCTTCTCTTCCTCCACCGCCGCAGCCACCGTTAAGATCCATCTCCCGCCGCTTTAAATCAAGCGCAAACGCCACTACTTCTGCTGCATCTACCAATCTCTCAAAACCAACATCGTCTTCACCTTCTTCATCATACTCACACAACAAAAACCTTAATTTCTCCAGAGCACTCTCGTTTCCGGTTCCGCACACAAAACCCTCTAGAGTTACTCCTCCTCCTCCTCCGGTGCACGATAAAGCGGCCTCGGGGTTTGCTGCGGCGCTCGTTAGCGTTTGTCAATCGAAGAATTGTCTTGGTCGGACTCAAGAAGATGTCAGAAGATTGATGGAGTTTCTTGTGGGAGAAGAAAAGAAGAGGAACAAGGTCTTAGTCAATGATGTTGTTGAGAGAGGTAAATTTGGTAAACACTTGAAGGGCTTGGTCAAGATGTTGATTACAAGAGGTAAATCTGGGATTCTCGTTGATGTTTTAATGGAATTTCAGAGAATCTGTAATGAATTGGTCACAACAAAACTTGTCTGGGTTTCTTGATGATACAAAAGATTGTAAAAGATATCATATCTAATCCAAAGTTTGCTTCTTTACACAAGAAATGTTATACTACTAGTCTTTGGTTGATGTTTTTATGGAATCTGAGAGAATCTGTAATAAATTGTTTGTCTGATGAAACAAAAGATTGTAAAAGAGATTATATCAAATCCAAAGTTTGATTTTGCTTCCACAAAGAATTAAAAAACAACAGGTTTAGTTACTACTGTCTCTTTGGTTGAGATTTCTTAATGAAACAAAAGATTGTAAGAAAAAAGAGTTACTGTCTTTTGTCTGTTGTGTTGATCAGACTTTTACATTGTCTTGATCTTCTTCTTGATTCTTGTCCTTCTGCATCTCCCAATGAACTTGAGAGCTTCATCGATTAGAATCACAGGGAAGGAAACAAGAATAACCACAAACCATTCCCTGAAACTCAAAGGCACAATCCCAAACACATTAGCTAAGAAAGGAACGTAGAGGATCACGCAGTGAAGCCCGAAGGAGACAGTCATGGCCACTAGTAGCCAAGGGTTTCTCCATGGTGGCATCGTTAAGAGACTGTTGTCTTCGGACAACGCGTTCAGCGAGTTAAACATCTCAATAGCCACAAGAACAGAGAGTGATAATGTCATTGGCTTGACTTTCCCAAGAGTGAAGTAATCGCAAGAATTGTTATCAAACGCGATGGTCTTAAGACCACCTGCGATTGTGTAAGGAGTCGCAGTGAAGTTCGTTCCCCACGAAGAACACTCTGACCAGTTCTGAAGCTGATTGAAGCTGACCAATGTGTGTCCATCTGAGATTAGGCTAATCCCGAGGAAAGAAGCTTGTGTGTACCACAAGACAAATATTCCCACAGTTGCAACTCCAACATAAGAACCAATCACTAGATATCGAATAAGAACCCATGAATCGATGAGACAATCATCGCTTTTGCGGGGTGGTTTCTTCATGATATCAATATCAGCTGGATTGAAGCCTAGCGCTGTAGCTGGAGGACCATCAGTTACCAGATTAACCCAAAGAAGCTGAACAGGTATCATACATTCCGGTATCCCCAATGCCGCGGTTAAGAAGATGGAGATTACTTCTCCAACGTTTGATGATATCATATACCTTGAAATGAAATCATTTAAAACCACAAGATCAGTATAATTTACAGAGAGAAAATGTTACAAGATGTCATCTAATGCAAGGCTTTTTGTTACCTGATAAAAGCTTTCATATTGTTGTAAATGGACCGACCCTCTGCTACAGCTGAGACAATAGTACTGAAATTATCATCTGCAAGAACCATATCCGAAGCTTCTTTCGCAACCTGAAAATGTACCTCATCATATAGTAAGTATCAGAATCTGCATATTTTGTGATTCTTGAAGGTTGTTTTACAGTTAAGTTAGTTAATTTGTTTACCTCAGTTCCAGTGATTCCCATGGCGATACCAATGTCAGCGAGTTTCAACGCAGGAGCATCATTCACACCATCACCTGTCATCGCAACGATTTCTCCCATTTCTTTTAGCATCCTAACGATTTCTTGCTTATGCCTTGGCTCAGCTCGAGAGAACACTTTCCCTCCAGATTTTGACAGAATTTCAGATCTCCGTGAAGCGGGAAAAGACATAAACTCTTTACCGGTGAAGCTACTCTGCGAAAGATCTTCGTTCTCCGAAAACAATCTAATCTCACAACATATAGCCTCAGCTGTTGATTTGTTATCCCCAGTTATCACCATTACTCTAATCCCAGCGTCTCTGCAATCTTCAATTGCTCTTCCAACTTCTTCACGCGGAGGATCTCTTAGACCAACAACTCCAACGAAGATTAGATTTGTTTCGATGTTCGAATAGCTAGAAGGGTCTAAAAGCTTCTTGTGTGACGGATGTTCTTCTGTAGAGTAATCCGAAAACTCTCCTAATTCGTCTTTGTAAGCCAATCCTAAACATCTTAATCCCTTTGAAGTCATTTCAGAATGTTTCTTGAGGATTACTTCTCTGCTAGAATCATCTAAAGGGACAAGAGATCCATCAGCGAGTTGTGCAAAAGAACTTCTCTCAAGTATACTCTCAGCTGCACCCTGCAAAGAAAAAGAAAGGGAAGATTCACAAAACGTTTTTAATTAAAAACAAGAAAAGAAAAGATGGTGTTTTACCTTAACGAGAAGCCGGTTTTGTCCATTTGGTTTGCGCACAATAACACTCATGGACTTACGGACGCGATCAAACTCCAATGTTGCTACCTTTTTCGATCTTTTGTTCCACCAATCGCAACAAGCTGGTGCAGCAAGAATGGAGAAAAGATCAATCAACAACATAGCAGATGAATGAAATTATGCTAATGTATGGTGTGAAAACATTCTAAAACTTACCTAGCTTCACTGAGCTACCATTGTTTGAAAAGTTTACAACTTCCTCGATATTCTCACCGTTCTTCTTCTCTGGAATACCCATTTTCTCAACAAGAACTTTCAAGGCAGCTTCTGTAGGCAAACCTGTTGCCCTAAACAACTTTCCTTCATAGAACACCCCAGCATCATTACAAATTGAACATATCTCAGCAACAGCTTGCAAGTTAGCATCCATATTGTTGGATCCCCAATCAACAATTCCACCGTCTTTAGGATCATAAGTCGTACCATTGACTGAAAAGACTCGAGTAGTCGTTGTTTTACCGCCTAATGTGAAGAATTCAGTTGCAGACATCTGGTTTGTTGTTAAAGTCCCGGTTTTGTCTGAACAGATCACAGTTGTGCAACCAAGTGTCTCTACACTCGGAAGCTTCCTCACTATTGCGTTCTTCTGCGCCATTTTCCTTGTCCCTAAAGCTAGACATGTCGTGATCACAGCAGGTAAACCCTCAGGAATCGCTGCCACGGCGAGAGCAACCGCGATTTTGAAGTAGTAAGTGCATTTCTCGAATGAAAACCTGATATTCACAGGTTTATAGCCATCCACAACATCCCAAGAAACAAAGTTCTTGTAGTTAATAATCCACACAAGAACACAGACAATGCAGATAGCTGTAGTCAATCTACTCCCAAACTCGTCTAGCTTCTTCTTTAAAGGAGTCTCACTCTCTTCAAGCGACGCCTCGTGAATCTGCCTCTGGATTTTCCCGATTTCCGTATCCATACCGATACTCGTCACAATGCAAACACAGCTTCCGTTAACAACTGTTGTTCCCGCGAAAACCATATTCTCTTTCCCTTGCAGCTCACAATCATCGGTGACAACAGGATTCGCTCCTTTCAAAACCGGCATTGCTTCACCGGTTAACGAGCTTTGCTCGACTCTTAAAGTCGATGTTTTCAAACCGGAAACTCTCATATCAGCAGGGACTTTATCTCCTACGTTTAACTCCACTATATCCCCTGGGACAAGCTCTCTAGCAGGCAAATTAGGCAACACAGTCCCATCTCTCAAAACCTTTGCAGATTCACATTGCATCTCTTTAAGAGCCTCAAGTGCTTTCTCAGCATTACTCTCTTGCCACACACCAACCACAGCGTTTAAAATAAGAATCAAAACAATCACAAACGGCTCAACAAAGGCCTCGAACCCTGAACCTGAGCCATGTTCCTCGCTTTCACCTAAAAAGGCTAAAACGAAAGAGATAAACGCAGCACCGAGAAGAATCTTCACAAGCGTATCGTCGAACTGTTCCAAAACCAGATGCCATAAGGGCTTGCCTTTCTCCTTAGCGAGCTCGTTGAAACCGTACTTTTGACGGCGGAATTGGATATCTTCACTGGTTAAACCCTTGTCTAGTCTTGTCTTGTACTCTTTCAGACATTGCTCAACAGACCAAGACCACGCAGAGAACGACTTCTCTTCCTCCATTGGTTCTCAAAAGCTTTACTTTGTAACTACTCAAAAACGGTTCTTTTCTTCTTGTTGTGATATATATGTGAGAAACCGTTTATCAAATTCCTGTAGAAAAATTTCAATCAAACAATGAAATTTCAGTTTTTAAACAACAAATAAAGTTGCAGTTTTTATTGACGGTTTGAATAATAAATATTCAAGATCTGATTAACTGGTGATAAAAAAAAATAATAATACAAACCCAGAAACCAAAAACAAGAACTGAGTTAAACTGAGAGAGAAACAGAGTATAAATTCTTACCTAAATTCCAAGAAAAACCAGTAAGAGCTTTCGTCATTGAAATTTCAAACATGAAAGAAAGTCCATCAAGAAAAATTAAAATAAAATGATTTGACTAAAAGTTTGCTTGGAGACAAAGCTGAAGACCCAGAATTTTTTTGAAAAAGAAGGAAATTTTTATTCCCAAATTTGATTCGCGTTCTACCACTAAAAAGGAAAAAGGACAAATCTTGATTTGGACAAGTCGTGGTTTCGTGTTTGAAACTCGTTTTCTTTTCTTTTCGTCTTTATTGCTTAAATTTTTGAATATATATTTTGCTTTGTTCTTCTTCTATTCCTCTCTGTGGTTTTTGCTTTCCAGAAAAGCGAAGGTTTGGTAATAGTGGTGTGTGTGGTCCCATCTGATTGGCTGTTCATAAAGAAAACGGAACGTTACCATTCCTATTAGTCCCTCGAAAAGACCGTATTACCCTTCATTTAAAACCGTAATTACGTATTTGACTTTCCCTTTCCCGTACGGCTTTGCTCGATATTGGGATATTCCATTTTACTTTCAAATTATTATTATTATGCAAATTAATTTAATAAAGTAGTAAGTTACAAATAATAATCAAATTAAAAAAGTCAATGATTTAATAACCAGTGAAATGAACCCAAAAGTTCTTTACTGTTGTTTTATAATCGCAATAAATATTTAATTTAATCTTCAAACATCTGTCAGTAGGAGTGCTGTCTGAAAATCTGCAAGCCTACTCAAACCATATTAATTGTTATATTCGATCTTGTGGTTACACAAAAAGCGAAGTTCCTCGAAGGTTCCTCCATTATTATGCCTGCTCTACCTCCACTACGACGCTTTATAATAGGCCTGCGAATCCGACCCGTTCGGTTTTTTCGGGTTCGGTTTCTCGGTTTTTCAGGTTTTTCGGAATTTGAAAGCTGTTCCGAAACTAACCGACTACGATTTCGGTTCGGTTCGGTTCGGACCCGGTTAATTCGGTTTTTATGATTCGGTTTTTCGGTTTTGTATTTTTGGGCCATAATAATTTTGAAAACTGGGCTTTGTCTACAAAAGGGCCTGTTAACAAAAAAAAAAGGCTTTTGTCTTTTGGCTTGGAGAAAGAAGACGAGATGTGAATGGCGCAGACCGTGGCGGTGAGATCTGAATCGCCAAGACCGTGGCGGCGAGATCTGAATTGCAAAGACCGTGGCGGCGAGATCTGGAAAGCGGAGCTCACAATATAGAAGAAGAAGAAGAAGAAGAAGAAGAAGAAGATGATGGTGAAGAAGAAGAAGATGATGATGATGAAGGATGATGAATAGAAGATGAAGAAGATGATGGGTTGATGGTTATGAATCGAAGAAGAAGAAGATGATAGTCATGAATCGAAGAAGAATAAGAAGATGATGATGCATCGAAGAAGAAGAAGAAGTTGAAGAGTAATCGAAGAAGCTGAGGAAGAGGAGAAAATAATCTGATGGCTAATAAGACTATTAGGTTAGGGTTTTTTGTTCTCCGGTTAACCGTTCGGTTCAGGCGAACCCAACCGAAAATCTCGGTTAACCGAACCTAAATCGAACTCATTCCGATCGGTTTACTCAAATTCAAGAAACCGAACCGATTTGTCCAAATTTCGGTTCGGTTCGGTTCGGACAAATCGGTTCGGTTTAAATTACCAGGCCTACTTTATAATATACTAGGGGAAAATCCGGACTACGTCCGGAATTATTTTTATTTTTTGTTTAAAGCGAAAAATATATTTGATAATTGATATCTTCTAAATTAGTTATTTCAGGTTTAAATTCATGTTTAGTTTTTAGTATATACATACTAAAAATATAATATGATATTGTACATAACATTTCAATTAAAATAACCTATATGATACTATTAATGTTTAATTATCTTTATCTATAATTTTTTCATCCTAATTTATAAGTAAAAATTGTTTCTTTTTTCTTACTATTATAGTATTATTAGTCTATATATTATTTTTCTCATCTATATCCTCATGATTTATTTGTAGTTGTTTCTAATTTTTTTTTCATTAACCATTTCTATTAGTGTAGTTCCTTTTATACTTTATTTTTCATTTTAATAAAGTATTCTTTTCCAACTTTTGTAGTTATAAAAATTGTATTAAATCTTAAAGTGGGATGCACACTGAACAATTAAACTATTAACATCCTTGGACTATAGATTTTTTATTGAAAACTTTTCTTTCATTCATTCAAATTTGTGGGGATACAAATATAATTGCAATCTCAAACACATCATGAGATGCTACATAAATTGAAGAGTACAATATACAATATATAGATAGATATGTATTCTTGGACTATATATGTCGAAAATCTACTTGCTCATGCACATCTTTTTTTTTTTTTTTGCCAATCACTCATTTACATCATTTGTTATTACTTATTTGCTTTTAACTATTTCTTAATGATTTCTTCACCATTTTGGAATCTAATCTCAAATCACAAACCACCAAGAAGTGGAACAAATGATTGTTAATTTTACTATATGAAGAATTACAATTCAAATCTAATAAATTCTTTAATCTTTTTACTCTTGGGTGCTTCTGTTTTTAGAACTACACATTATTTGATTAGTTGTTAACACTTTTACCATGAACCATGTGGCTACTATGCAAACATTAATTTTGAATCGAAGAGCTGCATATAAACGACCCGGACAGCAAGTGACTAAACAATCAAACTATCACAGAAGCTCGAAACGCATAATAATTCTATTGAATACTACGATCGAACAAACATTAGAGCTAACATGACTAATAGTAGTAGAAGATGCCACAAAAATTCCAATGGATCTTCAAATGACAAACAGATCAAATAAATAAGTAATGAAAATTCATGAAGCTTTTGATACTCTTGTTTAACTCTACGAACTTGAGTAGGAAACTACAGTTGCAGTCTCAAAACCTGCAAATGTTGAACAATTGGAAAGTCCTGAGGAAGAGGAGTAGACGAGTAGGAAGTAGAATAGTTTCTTATAAAACTAATGAGCTTGAGATACGCTTCGCAGTGGAATAGCCGATTTGCAGCAGATATAAATCCTTGCACTGCGTTTGACTGTAGGCTAAATGATTAGTTCGTACTCGTGTTGGTTGTGTATATAGAGCATATAATATGCATACCTGGGAGTTGATGAGAAGTAGTTCAAGACCCCCATGAATTAGTCGGACTTAGACTAATTCTTCCAAACAGAAATCTCCATCAATTTCATCCACAATTTGAAAGGTGAATGGCTGGGGTGATGGCTGTTTTGACTGTAGTGAGTGTTTGAGCATTTTGGTTTGTATGTATGCTTGGTGATCTGAGGTTTTACACACCACTAATTTCCGCAAGAGGCTATGATTTTGACAGTAGTGGTCATTGATTTCGTTCGATGTTAATTGATATGAATAAATAGGGGAGTGAAGATGACGAAGTGGCGATTTGATAACGGTGGCATATTCAATTTTTGGAGAAAACTGAATCGATTCAGTTTGAGAGGATAGAGAAGATATGGTCGGAGACGATGAGGAGGAAGAATGACTTTTGGTTTTTTTTTTTTTTTTCTTTTTTGTGAACTGATTTTAGGTTTTAATGGGCTAATTGATATAGGGTGGCTACAAAATTATTACGCTTTTATGTTACGTGTTCAGTATATGAGCTTCTTATCGCTGGGCTTTTCTTGTTTAAGAGAGGGCTTCTTATTATTGTGGGTAAACGTTTTTTTTAAAGAATTTTGTTTAGCGATGCTGATGTGGCGTGAGAAGAGATTGTTTTTCAACTTGCTGATGTGGACACATTGAGAAGCTTCAATGATCACTTTTTATTAGTAAGAGATTTTTCTTATTATATACTCAGCTCCAAAAGTTTACAATTCTTGATTGTATGAAACTCCTACTTATATATATATTCCTTCGTACAGATTAGAAAATTTGATTAATTCTTAGCATATTCATTAGTTGGCAATGAGCAAAATAACAACAACAGGTTGATAAATAAATAATACTACTTCATTCGATATTTGGGCCGTAGAGCGTATTCTTTAAGCCCAATATGAGTCCAATACGCAAAGAAAAGAAGAATAAGATTCCGGGGACATCTAAACGGCGTCGTCTTGATAAAAGTCACCATAGCACCCTGCGATCGTCGTCATCTAACAACAGTTAACGCCGTTAAAAGATTCCGTAACGGAATGAATTGGTTCAACAGTCTCTCTCTCCGGTTCGATCGCCCAATCATATCTCCGCCGCTGACGTAAGAATCTCTCCTTGTACACTGCAATTTCCACAAGCAAAAGGAGAAAGCTTTTACTGAGGAAGACGAAGCAATGGGTGTACTCACGAACAAGGTCGGGAGAGACGAGCTTAAACCTGGTGATCACATCTACACTTATCGAGCCGTCTTCGCTTATTCTCACCACGGTACCTTTGTTTGATTATTCCTTTTGGTTTCTTCATCAATTGGCTCTTGGTGTGAATCATACAGAGATTTTCTCCATTTGGGTCTTTTAGGTTTATGTTACCTCTTTCCATTGCACAGAAGAAGAAACAAACCGTCGTTTGGTTTCTATTGGGGGATTGTGTCTTGGATTTTGTCAAAAACTCTATTTGGTTATCAGGATTTTGTCAAAGTTATTGACTTTGTTGAAACGGATCTTCAAAAAGTCTCATCTTTTGTATTCTTTGGTTTCAATCGTAGTGATGATGACCTGTCCTTCTATAGTCAATGGTGGTAGCAAATAGATTTTGGTTGCTTTTGTTGACATTTCAACTTTTCCACATTTGTAGGCGTATTTGTTGGTGGTTGCAAGGTGGTTCATTTCAAACCTGAGCACAGCTTGATATCTCCTACACTCGCTTCTTCTTCTTCTTCTTCTTCTTCTTCTTCTTCTTCTTCAGTTTCGGAGGTTAATGATTCTTCAGAAGCTCCTTGTCCTACATTTCCTGACTGTGGTTACAAACAACCTAAGAGTGGAGTAGTACTTTCTTGCCTTGACTGTTTTCTCAAGAAAGGTTCTCTTTACCGTTTCGAATATGGAGTCAGCTCATCGATTTTCCTCACCAGATTCCGCGGTGGCACGTGTACAACTGCTCCATCTGACCCGCTTCAAACAGTCATCCATAGAGCAATGCACCTTCTCCAAAACGGATTTGGTAACTACGACGTCTTTCAGAATAACTGCGAAGACTTTGCTCTCTACTGCAAGACAGGATTGCTCATTCTGGATAAGAATGGGGTTGGGAGAAGCGGTCAAGCCAGTTCCATTCTAGGCGCTCCTCTAGCTGCACTCCTCTCTTCACCTCTCACATTGTTGATTCCAAATCCTGTTGGTGTAGCAACTGTCACTGCTGGGATGTATTGTATGAGCAGGTATGCTACTGATATCGGTGTTAGAAACGATGTGATCAAGGTTCCTGTTGAGGATTTAGCTCTGAACCTTGGCTTTAAAACCCTCAAGAGAAACAGGAAAGCTTTTGGCATCAGCATTTCCAGGTGAACACATGTTCTATGATGTTCATCGAAAAGTACATAAGATTGGCCAATGTTTAGTCATGATCTTATTTTCCCCTTGATCTCATTTCTTGCTTGCCATGGTGACACTGTAAGGATTCTCTAGATTCATTGTGGATTCCAATCAAGATTTAGTTCTATCACTTGCTTTTTAGCCTTAAAACCAAGCCGAAGAAAATTTCAGTTACAGAACTAAGCAAAATCATATACTAAAAAGGCTTATATACACATGAAAACTAGGTTTATAATCTTCATGTATGTTGAGTTTTCGATGTGTAAATTGAAAGTGATTTAGGAGCTTCGTGGTGGTTGTTTAGTGTTGTTGTCTCCGGTTTTCTTTTTTGAATCTTGTTCAAAGTCTGCAAGATTTGCCAGTTCATCGACTGCTTCAACGGCTGTTTGAATTCTAGCTGCGTTTTCGATTAACAACGAAACCAAAGTGGCAACTGGAAGGACTTCATGTAGGCTCATCAACGTGTTTCTCTCTTCATTGTCTACTTTGTTCTCCTCTTCAGATGGAACTTCTTCAGGCTTCTTCTTTGTTTCAATTGGAACAGTTTTTAAGGTTTCTTGAAGCTCTTGTACTGCAGAGTTCATATCAAACACCAGGAAATCCATCTTCGATGATTTTCTCGTGTTCTTCATCATTTCCATTAATTCTCTTAAGATTTTTGAAGAAGCTGAGCTCAATTTCATACAAGCTTCTCCAAAATGCTTCTTGACCTGGTCTGGTGTCTGGCAAAATAGAAGACCCTAGTATTAGTTTCACAACCTCTAAAAGTTAGTCTTCTTCAAAACTGTGATAAAATCTAAATGGTTACCTCTGTTTCATAGCTAACGCAGATACTGAGATTCTCAAGACAATAAGCACATCTGCGCATAGCAGCACCTATCTTTACGTATAACTTCCAAGGATGTCGGAAGTTAAAGCTTCCATGTGCAGGTTCCCATCTGGCTAGATTCGCCTGAGAGATTAAAGAAAACCCCGCAAAGTGAATAAGCGGCTGCAAATTGGAAAGATAATTTAACTTCTCTTTATCCACATAGATAATCTGTTAAGTTACCATGGCTTCCTCTGTTCCTTTAGAGTTTAGCACACATTTGAATCCTTGCAATTTCATGCTAGTGTCTTCATCTTCATTTCGATTCGTCGAGACTTCGTTCTCCTTGAAGTACTCTGCTACACAGCCTGCGGTTTTAATAGTAGTCAGTGTACTAGCTAATGCTGAATCTTTCATAACAATTTTGGTTTTCTTATTCCCTTACCGTCTAGTGAATCGGCAAGTTTTTCGAGGTTACGTTCGATAAGACGGTGAAGCTGAGATCCTGCCCAGATGGGACAGAAGAAGACAGTAATGATAATGCAGATTGATGTTCCAATTGCAATAGTTGATACTCTTTGCTGAGCCAATTCCACCAGCTTATCAACTCGGTAACCGCCTACTGAGACAAGGCTAAATGTGAGGATAAAGATCATTGCTCCATAGTCGAATCTGGCTTTGAATGATGGCACAAACCGCGAGTAAGTAGCTGCGAAAGCTGCAAGAATCAAACCCACAAGAGAAATTTAATAAAAACCGATCATTTTTTTTGGTTATTTACAATAAAGACTGATACTTGTTAGGGTTTTGGCCATTACCAAAAAGAAAAACAGAGCATCCAATCACAAAAACCTCAGCTTTTCCTGATTGAGTGGCGACCCAATGAACAGCAATGCCTAGTGATCCAGCTAATATAGTTGCCACAACTCTGTTTACACATTTGCAGAATGTTGCTCCTGTTGTACATGGAGATACATATACATACATACACGTCAATTTCGCTCATTAAGAAGAAGAAAGTTCCAAACTTTTGAATATGGGTTTGGTTTACGTACCAACATTGGACTCGAAGACGACGACAACAGTCATGATAGCCCACATAGCATTTCCTCCAACACCATCATACAAAGGTCTCATGTAATAAAAGATTGAGACTAATGAAAGTGCAAGTCCTACTTTAAGACAATGTACCACTTTGGCCGGATCATCTGCCCCAATCCTCCAAGCTTTCATCATAAACTCTGCCATTCGCTCCACGATCACCTTCATTACCAAATCCTTTAGCCAAAGAAAGATCCTTTTACTTAGTCCCGCTCTAGGAACCAATCTCTCTGTCGTCCCATTGTCTACACTTATCCTCCACTCTAGCTTCCCAGCTTCTTGTGATGCCATATTATTATCCCGAGAACTTGAATTTTAAACACTAAACCAAAACTTCTGAACAATATGAATGTTTTGGTTAAGAATGTGTTGGGTTTGTTTGATGAGCAATGCAATTTGGAGTGTTACATATATAGATATTATAAGGCTTTACTATTTTTTGAAAATTCTTGAAGTGATTTTAAGTGGTGAACTAATATTATTTGTTATCTACTAATATATATTATTGATCACTCTCTCACACTTTGATATGCAAAAAAGATGAAGTGGCCTAATTGAAATTTTATATGATTTGTTAAATTTTGTGCTACAAAGTCGTCATCGCATAAGTACGTACTGATGTTGAAACCTTCGTACATCCATCCATTTCATTGCAACGTCATAAATTATATATTTATAAAAAAAGGCCATACATTTTAGATTATAAATTTAATGCCACAAGATATAAGAAGTTTCGATTCATATACATTAATTGCACATCTAAAATCGATCCAAGATTTTGGTATAATATATCAACCCTAACTTGTACTATATATAGTCTACCACGCATTAACAAAAAAAAAACTAGTACTATAGTCTATTATAACTTTTATATATATATATTATATATATATATATATATATATATAATATTGATATCAGTGAGTAGCTCATTACTCATACCAAAAGGTTAACTATTACATGCACTAGGCACGAGCCACTAGCCACTAAGTGATATCAAAGATATATGTGTGCGTGTTTATTGCATGCGTACATTACATACACAATTAACAAGTTCACGTCAATTAAGTAAATAAAACACATTAAAAGTGGATTGTCGTAAGCAAATAAAGCCCTTCGCATTCCTTTTCATGATTAGAGAATTCATTGTTTGACGAAATAACTTTACTATTCTTATTTGATGTATTAATTTTGTTTTTCATGCAATTAAGTTAATTAGAATACTTTTTAAAAAATACTATTACGTACATGCACCAATTATTGATATAAAGATATATGAAAGTGGCACGTTTGACTTGCACTATACCTTTTAATAATGTTCATATCAAAAGTTACAATTCTTAAGAGGTACATTTATATATACACACAAACCAATTAGAAGAAAATTTGACATAACCTAACTTTAATTTAGGTCACTGAGTGTGCCCAAAATTATAAGAGACCTAATTTAATTGGGCTCCCTATCAAAATATTATCTTGCCCTAAGTGGACGCACTTATATATATTATCACTAAACAAAATTTTTATTTATGTTTTTAATTCACATTTGTGTGGTCCAAAATTAATTGAAGGAAAAATTTTGTACTACTTTTAGCTACTTCGGTTTCCCTATTGGGTCTTGTGAATATTTATGAAGTGCCCTTCAGCTTATCACCTTTTGTTCGTGATGTGATAAGAAGATCGGTTTAACTTTTTTTTGTCTTATCGAATTAGTTTTAAAATATATCGTGTTGGAATTAGGTCATGATTGAAATTAGATTTTTTTAATAAAGATTTTATTGTATATTTCACAAAATAAAATCTGATATCATCGGCATGCAAATGTTGATTGAACAATAGGCAGAATTTATGTTGTTCTATCCGCAATATCAAATGACCATATAGTATCTAGAATCAGCACCGAATATTACATGACACAAAATAAAAATATGATGTTTTGGTTTTATTTTTTATTTTTCTTACAAATAAATTATTAATGTTTTAAGTTTTAACAAAAGAAGATGATTTTTAATGTGATTTATGGATACTAAATAAGCTCTTGACTTCTGTTCTCAACTTCTCATGGATTATTTCGGATATTGCTGACACAACATTTTCAGTGGATCAAAGTGGCTGACAAAGTCATACGTCCTATATATCACGTTACTTCTTTTAATTTTGTCTCCTATTTTCTTTTCTTTTTCATTTCGCATTTAAAAGTTTGATGATTTTTATTTTCGTGATCAAAATTATTCGATGATTCAATATTACGGTTTTCAAATACAAGTTTAAAAGATATAGTTATACAAGTTTGATAGTTGTCAAAACCAGTTGGAGACCAGAGATCACCTCTTCTTCTCATGTCAAT